GAAATTGTTAATGCTTATTTTGTTGACTGAACAGTTGTTTTTCAGATGCTCAACAACAAAAAATGGTTGTACGCTGTCCGGTGTTTTCAATGCGGTACTTATAATTGGGGAAGTTCTTCTTGGTCAAAATGATTTGATAGTTCGTTTTGTTAAAAATGGTACTTCCGTAAGACCGAATATTGGAATGGAACCATTGAGGCCAAATAAATGTTTCGCAACTACTAAAAGCTTTTATCTGTACAACATTACTGGATGTATGTGCTGCAGTGGCTCAACAGACAAATGTAGATTTGAGGAACCGAAAAGGACAACTGAATTGGCACCAACAACACCAACAAGTCGTATTTTTATAAGTTCAAACTGAAAGAACTTGATTAGCAGAAAGAATGAATAATTTTGACTCTATTTACTTTTCAACTTCTTTTATGACACTCCTCTAAAAAATTCCTTCCTTCTTGACTGCGCAGTTTTTTGTCAATCTCCTTTTGCCACTGATCCTCCTGAAAGAAACTGTCGTTCTTTTGACTGAGAGATTGGCTTAAAATCTTCCGCTTTATTCTAACGATATTTCAGAAATTCTATGTTATTTTAAAACCTTTACCAAATAACATCTGTTGTGGTAAAAAAACATACATTTTCCTCTGAAAAATTTGGTGCGGCATAGTTTCAAAAATATATTCAAAGGATTTTTTATTGTACATTCTATGTGTAAAAGAAAAAAGATTATGAAACGCAAATAGAAACCATCAGCATTTACGCGCTTTTTCTTCAACCTTCGAAAAAAAATTTTTTTAAATTTGATGTAAGGTATCTTCGAGCAAAAGCAACTTCTGTTGTTCTCAGCTTTACATGTCACACTTTTTAGGTTTAAAATTGAAGGAAAAACAAAAATTGTACGATCTAAAATTATTTCACTCAGTAATATCCGACAAAATTTGTTAAATGTATGAAGCAGTGACCTAAGAATTTATATCTTTTTGCTCTACTCTTCCCGCGTCCAAATGATCGCCACATTTTTATTGCCGATTTTTTAATTAAACAGTCAAAGAAAGCAAAAAACTGTATGTTAGAAAGAAAAATACTACACTTTTTTCCTTTTAAGGCCCTTAGAATAAGACTTGAAAGAAAGACTAAGTTAAGAAATAATTGAGAGTGTCATGGCTGGGTAAGTGCTTTGTCCGTTCTTGCAGTCAAGTGCTGAAAACTGTTAGTGACTATAAATGTTATTGTAATACAGGTCTTCCATGTGACCACTTTCATATAGCAGTCATCATAGATGAAAATCTGGCGAAAGGAAGAAATTTTGAGGAGTTTGATATGGCTATAAAATTGTGGACAGACCAAGTGGATGTAGAAAATGCAGTTTATACAAAGAAAAAAGTAATTTCCCCAAAAACTTTCACGGTGACTAGGGGTCAGAAACAAGCTATGACCAGGTATTTTCATAATTTCTGTTTGGAACTATTAATATCGCAATGAACTAAAAACTTCCATTCTTTTTTGAAGTTTAGCTTCTCAGAAACATTTAAGCTTTCACCACTTTAGTTATTAACTTAAAACTTTTCAAAGCGCAAAATTGCTTAATTTTTTTTTACAAACTTTTTTGATAGAAAGAAATCAGAAAAAACTACTATTGAAACATTTTTTTAAAAATTTGATTAAATTTTCTACTATGTTCGACTATGACCGTGAATTTTTTTAAGTTGTACGACTTATCAAGATAATTGCAAAGTGATAAATATTACTGATGGAAAAGTGATAATTTCAAACTTTTCTGAAGCGGTTAATGCTACTGTATCATTTATCAAATCTGGTCAATCGGTTAATCCTACTTTAACTTTTGGACAACTCACTGATAAGGAATGTTATGCATCTAAGAAATTCCACCAGAAGTACCAGATATCCACCTGCATTTGTTGTATCGACAGTGTTGCAAAATGCATATATACTGGTACTACGACTATTCCGTCCGCTTCTGCTCCTGTTACCATAACCACTTCTTCTATTCCTCCCATAAGTTCAGCTACTATTGCGAGGACGACGAATCAAATAGTTACAGGTTATGTTATTACTGCTATCATTTTAGAGTCTACAACAGTTGTGCTTTCTTCTACAACATCTGCCTCTCCTACTGCTGTCAAGGCAACAACTACGTTTGTCTCAACAACTACACCTAAAATATTTACTGAATTTTCTGGGAAATTACCGTTTTGCAGAACAGAAAGTAAATTAGCAAATAACTGACAATGCAGAATAAAAAAAGAATAGAGAAATTTGCCGTTTACTGCCGTTAAGCGCAAAAACCTAAAGAAACCATAATCTTTTTTATTATACAGGTCTCCCATGTAAAGACTTTCACGCTGTTGTTACCGCATTCTCTGCAGAAGATGGAGAAGAAGAGAGGATCGAGGAGGGAGAAATTGAAGAATTTCATGCATTTGTAGAGTTGGAGGCAGACGAAGTGGAAGTGGATCACGCATTTTATAAGAAGGGGGAAATGTATTTTACAAGAAATTTTACGATAAGCAACGGGCCGGGGCAAGCTGCAACTAGGTCTTTTAATAATTCTGAAGAACTATTATCTAAATAGAATTAAATTAGAAATTTTTGTTGCTTTGCTGTTTACTTGCTTTAATTTAGGGTGAAAGTTTAAGTGATTAGCATTTTTCACTATTAATTCGAAATTTTGCAACGTTCTAGAAAGGATTACCAACCAAATTATTTAAGAAACCTTTTAACAGATAAACCAAAAAGAAAAGATGACATTAAAACAGCTTTTTAAGCATTAATTTGAATGTTTTACTACTGTCGACTATGACTATAGATTTTTTAAAGTTGTACAACCAAAGATGATGACTGCAAACTGATGAATGTTGCTGATGGGAAAGTGGTAATTGCAAGCTTTTTTGATTTAGTCAACACCACTTTATCCTTTATCAAATCTGGCGAATCAGTTCTTCCGACGGTTACCTTTGGACAACTTACTGAAACAAAATGTTATGCAGTTAAGAAAAACTACCAAGATTATGTGGTTAACACCTGCATGTGCTGCGGAAGCTCTATTGAAAATTGTATATTTACTGACAATACAACTATTGGACCAACTAATACTGCTAGTGGTTCTACTGCCAACATAATAAGTACTGATTATGACAGTTTTGATTCAACTTTTTTAGTATCTACAGGTATTGTAACTGTTTGTAAACTTTTGTTTTTCGGCATATAGTGAGACAGTGAATGGTTGTGTTCCACCGTAAAGTTCCAGTTTCTCTTTTCTTATGAAGGTGTTTTTGTATTAACCGCGAAAAGTAAGATTACTCACATATGACAGTTGTTAAATGCTAAACTTTAAAGAAGTTTGTTTACTAAAAGCCTGGTTTTAACTTTTATTAGTTACTAGAACCTAGTTTACAGATTTTCAACCTTTTTCTTTTCTTTTTTTCTCTGAGTAACTTGTGAACATTTATGATCGAATTTTGATCTCTACAGCGCTTTTTAAACTTTCATTTTGCTGAACAGTTCTTTGTAACAGTAACGTCTGCGGCGTATTATTTACGTAACAGATAGTTTTTAACATGGAAAAAAATGATATCAGCAGTTTTTCTTGTTAATACACACAATGTTATTATCTTCAGTTAAAATTACATTTTAAAGTTGTTATGCGCTTTCTTTTTTTTCCTAAGCGTTTCTTGTTTTGAACAGTGAACAAAATTATAAGGTATAAAAAGCTTCAAAGTGCTTCAAATTGATACTTGAATATTTGCAGGCACGAATGTAACGCGTACTCCACATTCAATGACAACTACACGCTCTGCAGGTATTTTGTCATTAGATACTGCAGGTTCTTTTACTATTACAAGTCGACATTCAAATGAGATAGTACTATGTTAAAATCACAGGTTAATTTAACTAAATAAAGCAAAGCAGTAATTACCAGCATCAAATGGCAGTGAAGTGTTTTAGCCGTCATATGAACTTAAAAGATTAATTAAAAAACATAACAAACAAAAAGCTTAAAACTTTTTAAATCAATGTAGTTTTATACAGGTAACATATAACAGTAGAAATTCAAAACATAGATAATTTATGTAGCAAACCGAACTTTAGAAAATAATGATAACAAAACAAATCAAAAATCAAAAAATTTTCTATTGATTGTTGTTAATAAACCTTTTTCGAAAATGAATGAAATGGGGTCGGTAGAGGAAGAAATGAACGGAAGCAGGCTGCTTAAAACTGGAACTTTTTTAACTTCAAAAGCATTGTTAACTCTTGATAGTTTTTTCCAAATAATAGGCGTTATGACTGACGTGATGTTATTACCTCAAAAAACTTTACTCTTTTATCGGCGTAAACGTAATCTTTTTTGAACTTAAAGTTTGATACGAAAATGCTAATATGATGGCTGATTTTCAAAATTTTTAGAGTTTCATTTAATGGAACAAACGATAATTTGTATAGATAAGTTAAAAGAGTTTGATGAGCTGGAGCGAAAGCAAATGGTTAACCACTGTATTTTTTTTCTCATTCATCACTGCAACATTTGATCTGACGTTATTTTGATGGGTAGTCAAATTCTTTTTGTTAAAGATTCACTTTGAGCAACTCATTGCTTACAAGTTCATTAATGCATTGCAATGGCTTGCTTTTGTATTGTATCTGATAAAAAAAATGACGATTCCGATCGCCTAGGAGGCAGAACACTTAAAATATGCAGTCGTTCTCAGAACATTCCAGTTCATTTCCTTAAACTAACGTTTTCGACTACTGAAGGCTTTTCATTTAAGTGTAGAATAATGCCCGTATATTAAGAGTGATAATTTGGTGAAGATTTGAAGTAGTCGATTTAAATCTTACCATAACTTTGATCAGTCAAAACTAAGCAAAGTTATGGTGAGATTTAAGCAAATGAAGATTTTTAAAGCTACCGCTTATATTTGCAGACTTTCTGGATCTATGCAGGCCTCTTTGTTAAAGATGTACCTTAAATTTAAACAATGTGTCGTTGTAGGTGTTTTAATACGACCAATTTGATTAGAAAACAATGTTTTAGATTTTTTTTTTTTTGCTCACAGAGCGTCATAAAGTTGTTTAGAGATACTTTTTTAACATTCACCACACAGCACAAGAAAGACGTTTTGGTCAGCTAAACGTTCATAAACCTGCCGCTCCCAATTGCGTACTTTGTAAAACTGTGTACCTCGACTCGTTCGAGATTTCGCTAAAACTCATCTAATGAACAATTCTTCTTCTTTACTGTTGCAAGCTATTCTCTACCGAGAGAGACATGAAATTGTCTTTAACATCCAAAGCTCTGAAAAACTTTAAACTTTCATACAGCAGATGACTTTCCAAAAAAAAAAAAAAAAAAAAAAAAAAAAAAA